CGGGTAGTATGGGTGGCATATAAGATAAATAAATAAACAAACAAACAAACAAACCTGACCAGGAAGTGGTCTGACCATGACAATGGGGTCACAACCAGCCCCTCCACATCCAAACCACTATCTTCCAGTCCCATTGAGAAAACCACGTCCAAGGTATGGCCCTCCTCATACGGGCCGATGACACATTGAGACAGCCCCATGGTTGTCATGGTGGCCATGAAGTCCTGAGCCGCCCCAATCAAGGCAGCCTCGGCATGGATGTTGAGGTCCGCCAGCACCAGCAGCCTGGGAGTCCTCAACACCAGGCCTGGGACTACCTCTGTCAGCTCAGGCAGGGAGACTGTTGGTACGCAGCAGGGTGGGCGGTACACCAACAGAATCCCTAATCTGTCTCGTGAGCCCAACACACAATACAGGCCCTCAAGAAGCAAAGCAAAAGCAAAGCATGCTGCTTATATACCGCCCCATAGCGCTTCAAGCACTCTCTGGGCGGTTTACAATTTAATTATGCAGGCTACACATTGCCCCCCCAGCAAGCTGGGTACTCATTTTACCGACCTCAGAAGGATAGAAGGCTGAGTCAACCTTGAGCCGGCTACCTGGGATTTGAACCCCAGGTCATGAGCACAGTTTTAGCTGCAGTACAGCGGTTTAACCACTGCGCCACGAGGCTCTATAGAGCTTCTTCTATAGAGCCTCTATAGAGGCTCTATAGAACTCTATAGAGTTCTCTATTATCACAGTCCTTTTAAAGCTGCCTAATTGGTGCTTTTTATGCTTGATTGGTGCTCGGTGACATCCGCAGGTGTTTTCAATACCTGATCGAAAACACCTGAATGAACCTCTCTTCTTCAGAGTGGTAGTCTTTAAGGGGTTGAATAATTGTGGCAATGAAGAAACCACAAAAGAAACATTTACTACTGTATTACATAAACAATTGATGTTATTTTAGTTGCATTTGGTTCTTTAAAACGTCCTTGTAGGATTTCATTCTGAATACAATTCCAAATGTACACTATAGTCCCTAAACCCCTTTACAGCATTGGGGGTTGAATAATTTTGAACACAACTGTATCTAACCTCTCTTTTACTATGCGGGCATGTTCTTTTATAACTGAATCCCCAGGATGCCGTCATTAACAACTTTTTAAAAATCAGTTTTAGATTTTTATATGGTTATTCATATTTATAATTATTGTTTGCTATATTACCATATTGTTTTTAATTTTTTTTGTTATTGTGGGGTATTAAGGGTTTGTAAGTTTTAATGTTGTGTAACCCACCCAGTATAGTGTTTGCACTAATGCAGCAGTATATAAATTGGATCAGATAAAATCAATCAAATAATCCATGTTTGTAGACACCAGGCTGTGTGACTTTGTTAAGAATTCTTACTTATATTTGCAGCAATGTGAAGATTATTTTTAATTGTGTATAATAGTAGGCACTAAATCACAAGTTTGTCAGCTTAAATGTCCTTCCATTCCTCAGTCGCACCTTAAGTATTTGCTAGAAGGGAACATTGGTTGAGGCAATGCTTAACCAATTCTTGAGAATTTGAACCCAGTCTGTACAAAATGCCAAGCCATATACACACATCTGCTTCTTCATTATATTTGCACTTAAGTGTACCCGCAGTGATTGTTTCTCATGGAAGTGTACAATAATGTTTGCCATATTAAAGAGGGCATACCACATTGGAAAACTTTATTGGAAATCAAGGCAGCCTTTCAGTTCTCATCCTCAGAAAGTAAAAATAAATCAGGTTCATCCATATGTGATTATAGAGCTCCATGCAATCAGGAAACCTGACTTATCTTGAGAAATAGGGTCACGCTGTTCAGGTGGCCACAGTTACATTTTCCCTTAGAGCAGGGACTGTGTTTCATTCCTATTCCCCTCTCTGAATACAGTTACTGAATGAACGAGAAGGGCCAGAACACTGGAAAAAAGGTACAACTTCTTAAAAGAAAGCTTTATGTTTTTTTAAATGTAAGATAATAAAACCATTCATTAAATACATTTTGATAACTGTTTCAATTGTGATTCTCTCAGTAAAACACAGATTTGTATAGTAAATCATCATTTTAATTCGCATACATGCACGAAAAGTAGCAATTGTAATCCAGTCAAAATTAAGCATTTTAAAACTTGCATTTATTTTAATATTTAAAATTGCATGTTTTACATCTTTCCTACTGAAATCAATGCGACTTAAAAGGCTTGACATTATTTTGGGAAAGAAAGCTTTTCCCTCCAAAAAATATATAACATGTTGGTAAATTAGTATCATTCAATTTATGGATTTCAACCAGCCATTCATTTGCATCATTATAACTTCAATAATTTAAAATCAACATTTTCCTGATTAATGCCAGCTTCTGAAATGTTTTCCAGATACAAAGTACATGCACACAGTAGCACTTAGCCAGAGCACAAAAGTATAATATATATTTTTTTAGGTGATGGGTGTGATCTGTTTCTTGCTGTTTGTGTAGATTCAGAGCAAAATTAAAGACTTAAAGTACTACAATTATTATTTTATTTGTTGTATAATGGCATAGGTTTATATATATCCATAAACAAAAAAATAAAGTAGGCAAGTTGCTTCTATAATTTATCCCCCAGATGCTGCTAATATTGTTTTTTAAATATTTTTTCTTGTTTTTCTTTTGTATGAATTTTAGATGCATATCTGTGAACTGCAACAATGAATGTATTGTTATATGGGGTCTTGTGGTGTTTTAGTTTTAATCTGTAAACTGTCCAGAGTCGTCCTTACACCAAAGAGTTGTCGTATGTATGTATGTATGTATGTATGTATGTATGTATGTATGTATGTATGTATGTATGTATGTATGTATGTATGTATGTATGTATGTATGTATGTATGAATGAATGAATGAATGAATGATTGGTTATTTAAAAATGAGGAAATAAACAGAAGGAAGGCAGGGAGGGTATCAAAGACTGAGAGAGGCGCTAATTGCAGTCCATACAATTTAATGGCAATGATACAGATTGATTGGATATCACTGCTGTACCACCACCACCACCATTCCTTCTTGGGTCCTGCAATGCCCTCTTCTTCCCATTGGCTGTACAGCATCAGGAACAACCCAGTCATCAGACGGAGTGGGTGAACAGTGGGACTGGGAAGGGACAGGACAGGAAGCAGAACAGCAGCAGCCTCTCCCGCAACACTTCTACTCCAAAAAGCACAGGTTGCTTAGGCAGCAACACATCATGCTCTAGTTTTAGACATGTGTGTAGATTTCACAAATGGAGCTGGGCACATATATTTCCGTATACAAAAAAAAATGAAACAAAATGTACTGTTTGGACTTGCAGCTCCATCAGACTATAAGCAAAACATTATTCTCCTTCTGCCAGATGCATCTGCTGGAGTCTGTCTTTGTCAGTACATTTAATGATGCTTCTGCTAAGCAAAGAGTAACATTACCCAACTTTCAAATGTTCAGAGACCACAGCTATTTGTTCCTTCAGTTCTATAGTTTTCAGCTCCAGAACTTATGTGGAAGAAATGGGAAGGTATGCAATGGAGAAAACAAAGTCCGTTCCCACAGAGAGCACCAAGAGAGGATTTTTGTTAGGTTGCTTGCTTGCTTGCTTGCTTGTTTGCTTAAAAATGTTGCCAAACGGTGCAGTTTTAGCATTCGTCACATTCTAACTTGGTCTGTTCTTTGGACATGTCTACACTACAAAGGTATAGAAATATTGCAGCTGTTGCAGCATCAAGGCTTCTACACTCACAATGGTAATTTGTTGTGAGACTGAGAACATTGTTAGAGAAAGCAAACCATCTCAGAGAACAACAATTCACAGCATGCTCTTCAAAACAGATCAACCTGATAACCACACATCTTCTTTTAGAAGGCCTACACCCACTTTACTTATTAGGTGATTAAAGATGCATTAGCACTTCAGACAAACTGACCACATTTTTACTTGCCTTGCTCCAGAGTTTTCGACAGCAGCCTTACACTCAGAAATTTAGCAAGAAAATCTGGGAAACAGATCAGTAGGAGAAGATGTTTGCCTGCTTCATTTCTGTGTGTCAGGCTGCTGGTAAAAGCACAAGATTAAGAAAGGAAAGGGGCCAATCTAGCTTTAAACATCCACATCCTGCATAGTTATAGAGACATTACCCAAGTGAAGAGGTCAGATTCAGAAATAAATAGAATGCATTTCATTAGCTGAATGATGGGTAGAATTCTAACATTTTCCAGAGAGACAGCTATGCTAATCTGTTTCAGCAAGGCCAATTCAAGGTTTCCAGGGCACCTTAAAGAGTAACAGATGTATGTGACATAAGCTTTCTTGCACTAGAAACTACTCCATCAGATATATTTTCAGTGGCCAGAACAAGCTATACCCTCCCACATGCCAGTAAATTCAGATGTACGCACATACAAACATATAAAGGGGGGAGAGGGAATCATGAGTGGTGAAAGACCATTGCATTTTTTGTTTGTTCTTCAACTTACTGTTGCTAAAACACTTTCCCCCTCTTTCTGCTCATTTGCCATCCAAGAGCATGGGATTCAGTTCATGGTCATGGATGCCTTAGTTAGTCTAGCCATTTCCCCCCCCACACACACACACACCTCCCTCTTTTATGTCACAGGTGAAGGCAACAGTCCTGTCTTCCTTGAATCCTGCAAACATTAAAGGGGATCTCCTAGCATCACCTTCCCTGAGGCCCTCCAGGAGCAACTGAAGCTAATGATGACCTCTGTGGAGAAAGCAACTATTTAATCCTTTTGAAGTCCCCCCTTCCCCATAGATATTGCCTCAAGAAAGTGCTAAAACACAAAGATCTTTCACCGAGAAGAATGCAGAGTCTCAGCTTCTCAACCAAGACCCAGTTCACATGCTACATATAAACGGCACAATCAATAGGCAGCCAATCCTTCAGCTACACAGGATTGGCAAAATAAACTTTAGAAAGTGGGAGGGATCTGAGTTGACATTCTTTATTATATTTCTAACCCAGGCACTTCAACCATCAATATGTTCTGTCCACTCTTGTGGTATATCTACACCAATGACATAAACTGATTTGCTAGCAGTTTCATCTTCAGAGAACCCTGAAATTTAATCTTAGGAATCTCAAGAAATTCTGTGACAGAAGAGCAGCTAGATTATGAGCACTCTCACCAACCCATAATCCTCAGGAGGCAAAAGAGCCATGGTAATTGAATTGATACATACAAACAGGCTAGGTCTGTGTCATAAATATACTACTAGTGCATTTTGAGGTTTGTCAACTAAGAAAATATTTTATAAAAAATGAAACCTGAAGTTTCTGAAAATCAGTATCCCCTTCTTCCATGGATCTATATCCACTCTGCTCCTCCCAATAAATTCACCATCCCTTCTTCAAGATTCCATCACATAATAAGTATACAAATATTGCATATGCTTTGTAAAGACAGTGATTCCTCTTAAGGCATACCTATACTAAAATTTGTGTCTGCTTTATATTAGCTTAAATATTATGGCCTTCCTTCCCAAAGAATTCTGAGAACTGTTGCATGATGAAACTAATGAAAAGCTTCAGGTACCAATCACAAGGCCATTCCCTGTGGTACTCCAGCTCCTGATTTCTCTGGGGAAATGGAGTGAGTCTTCGTCTGTGGGGTCGATATGCCTTTGAAGGATTACACATCAGTATGCTGTGAACTAAAAGAGGTACAGCTGCCTTGTTTACTGCGACTGAACTGGCAGAAACTTGCAGCCCTGTTTCTTCTTCCTCTTGTCTCACCTCGGCTCCTTCGCTTATCATGCATTATAAAGTTCTCTATTAGTTTCAATTTTTCATGTTCTTCCTTCAAGAAGAAATCAACCAACACACTCTTCTCCTTCTTGATTTGTTCACTGATATCCTTGGGAATGTCTGGAATCATCCAGTCAACAAGCACACTGAGGAACATTACTAGATTCTGCCACGGGGGAAAAATACATAGATAGATAAATGCATAAGCAGTAAAAAGAGTTCGCAGCAGCCCAGAGAATCATAAAGCACCTACTGTAGAGATATATAACATATATACTCATAAGGTAAAGGTAAAGGTTCCCCTTGATCTTTAGTCCAGTTGTGTTCAACTCTAGGGGGCAGTGGTCATCTTCATTTCCAAACCATAGAGCCAGCATTTGTCCATAGACAGTTTCCATGGTCACGTGGCCAGCGCAACTAGACACAGAACGTCGTTACCTTCCCACTGTGGTGGTACCTATTTATCTACTTGCATTTGCATGCTTTCAAACTGCTAGGTTGGCAGGAGCTGGGACAAGCGATGAGAGCTTACTCCACTGCGTGGATTTGCTCTTACAACTGCTTGGTCTTCTGACCTTGCAGCACAGAGGTTTCTGAGGTTTAACCTGCAGCGCCACCACATCCCTTATATATGCTCATAGTCTAATTATTTTGCTTACTTTATCAAAACTCCTGTAGCTTACTAAATATTCCTCAAACATTTCTTCTAAATAAGATTTTCTAATATCTACCTAGGAACATTCAGGACCTCCTGAGAAATATTTCTGGACGTAACACATCTCAAAATTCCTCTCAGCAAAGAATTCCCAAATTCAGTCCCAGGCTGGGAAGGCCTCAGGTTAAAATTTCAGTAGCTGAAATTTGGGTGAGAAACAGCAGCCATCCACGTCTGGGGAATCTAAGTGACATGAAGAGTTTGTCATCTGTGGCCCCTCACTGAAGTTTTCTTTAGCTACAGTATCATATGAAATTGCCTATGCTGACTCAGACTGTCATCTTCTGCAGTGCTGGGAACCTCTGGAAGGTCTAGGAGTCAAACTTTCTGACTTCATACNAGTTTGATTTAAAAATAGATAATACAATATCCTGATATTCAGAATATCTTGAAGTTGGACTCACACATAACATTTAGAGTACATCAATATACAGTTCCATGTAATATTTAGGGTACATCAGATGACTCCAAACCAGATGAAGACATTGTAAGAATTGTGAATTATACATTCTGCCTCATTTGTTTTTTTCTTTCATTCAATATTTGATTTAAAAATAGATAATACAATATCCTGATATTCAGAATATCTTGAAGTTGGACTCACACATAACATTTAGAGTACATCAATATACAGTTCCATGTAATATTTAGGGTACATCAGATGACTCCAAACCAGATGAAGACATTGTAAGAATTGTGAATTATACATTCTGCCTCATTTGTTTTTTTCTTTCATTCAATAAAAGATCTCTCTATTTTGATCATTGGGGTCAGTCTGATTTACTGCCTCCAAAGGAAACATTGAACAAACATAGCCTGGCAAAGAAAGGCATAGAGGGACTAGTGGGATTAATGTTGTGAGAAGTAAAGCCTCATTCATATATTCATGTTCATGACTTCACAATAGCAATATCGAGTGAAAACATGTGCATATGCCCAAGTCATCAGAGAACAGCCGTGCATATGAATATATGAAATGAAACTCGGGGTGGCTTCCAAACTGAGCAAAGGAGGCTACACTCCAATCTTGAGCATCCCCCCTGTTGATGATAAGTCATATATTCATCATTGATTCTTTCTGATTTTAACAAGCAGAAACACTTTGAAATCTCAGGCTAAAGCCTTTCCCAGCCTTATTGTCATGGAGACTGAGTTAGGAGCCTTCTATGGGAAACGTTTTCGGAGCCAGGCTGAGTTAACTCAGTTCACAGATCTCAGTGGCTGTGAGCATGGTGAGGGCCCTACATTTCAGAGTACCTTTCCTCCTCAACAGTACAACCAGGGTGTCACATGAATTAGGTGTATAAGTATACAAACCTATGCGCTGCTTTCTTCCACATATGTAATCTCACACGTAGTCTGAGGCATGATGTTGTATTCATTTCCCCACTATGCATACAGGACCTCCAAATAGAGACTGAGATGGCTTAAACTTCTGATAAATCGTGCTTATCTGTAATGTCCTTTAAGGTTTTTTCTTTCTTTCTGATTTTGATCTCAGTCCTAATGTGCATGCATGTATGTCATCTGATGTTACATTCTTCTGAATAATGGTTTATTCTTTATAAAAATGAATCAATTTAATTGAGGATGCTCGAGATGGAGGAATTTTGGATGCCAGCTGATTAGAATCCTTGAAGCTTCTTGGATATTTAATAGAATATGCCAAACATGACAAAAATCAATAGTAAGGATGTACACAAGGAAAACTTTCAAGCTGAATTTATTTCTTGTTGTTTTGGGCTGCTCCTCTTTTGATGTTGGGTCCTTATGGGTGTCAAATGCAACCCCCCCCCCCGGTTGGGTCACTTTGTGGTCTTTCATTTCAGCCGTGGTGACAGTGGTAGCAATGAGAAAAGGAGCAGGAAAGTAAACCCCAGGGCTGGTGGCAGGGGAAGCAGCACAGCAGTGCTGGCAGAGGTGGGAGGAGGAAGAGCAGAGCTGGCTGCTTACAGAGGCAAGGTGGAGGGTGAAACAATGGGTCTGGCAGAGCTGAAGGGGATAAGGCAGAGGGTGCATGGCACCAGCAATGAGTAGAGGGGAACAAGAAGCAGCAGGGTTGGCAGAGATGATGGGGGATAAGGAAATGGGTGAACGGCGACAACAAGTGAAGAAGGGGAACGACCAGGCTGGTGGCAGCAAAGCAATGACAGGAGAGGGAGGAAAAAGAATAGGACAGTCAAAACAGCAATGGAAAGACAGAAGAAAATGGGGAAAGAAAGGGGCCATGGCAGAGTGGCAATGACAGGGACAACCTTCCCATCACTGCCATTGCAGAATGGCTAGGAGAGGCAAAAGAAGATGGGAAAAGATTTTTACAGACATTGGCTAAACAAAGCTGACCCAGCAGAGGAAACTGGATAGAAACACATTATTTTTGAGACTTTCTCTTTTAGGAAGCAGAAGTATTCGGCTTCAGTGGCTCTTCGCCAAAAACTACTGAAAGGATCAGGAACAAAAAAACAAGGTTTCTTTCAGGATTTTCTTCATTCGAGTTAACCTGGAAGTCCCATCACAAAAATTTGTAAGAAGCCAAAGCATTCCAGTATTTCGCAATGAGCTCTTCATACTTCTGCACTGAGCAATATACTGCTGATTGAAGACACTACCATGATAATTTTAGAAAGGACAGCTAGCCTACTTTCTAGTGTCTTCAATGTGAATTCAAATGTAAATATACACAACTGTTGCAGAGAGTAATTAGTAATTGTACTACATGCAGCAATAAAATAACACAGAAAAGAGTTACCTGAAAAATAATGACAAATGCCAAACGAGCAGATAAAACAGCCCAGTACTGCTTAGAAAATTCGTATTGGTTTTCTGACCATGGTGGTTCTCTGTAATCTTTGAATCAGCAAATGAAATTGTTACGTTAAACTGTACAGTATATCTGACTGTATTACAAATCAATTCCATTTTCTGGCAAGGTAGTTCTCCATCAGTTACACAATTAACATTTTTCCAGCAACAGTATTTATTCACTGGTCATTTTCTAGAGGTCTGCCAGGATTTAAAAAAAGCAGGGAGGCAAGGAGAACTATAAAGAAGAAACAAGCCTTCTATGTCCTGGTAATGAGTTCCAGAGTCTGGAAAAAACTACCTGACATGCATCTGTGAGTGGCAGGAATCAGAGGAAGGCTTCTCTCAAAGATATTAGCCCCTCAGGCAGGTTTGTATAAGTCAGGATAATGTGATCCTTTGGACAACCAGGACTCCATTGGGAGTTCCTCAACATCTCATTGCATTTCACCATGATGAAGGCCTTCAGAGTATCAGCTCCCACTCTGTGGAATGCCCTTCCAATTAGGCCTGCACCTACACTTCTCTCAGTCTTTGCTGCAGTCCTTCTGTTTCAGAAGAGCATTTTCTGACTGATAAGTAACTCTACATACTCAGATGAATTATCTTACATTTAATGAGAAAGCAATAAAATAGAGATAAACAAATAGGAAACAATAGAAACAAAAACATTAATAACTTCTGACTGGAACTCTCCACTATGACCTGTCTGTCTTGGGTGTTCCTGCACGGCATAGCCCATAGCTTCTCTGAATTACTCAAGCCTCTTCGCCACGACAAGGCAGCAATCCATGAAGGGGCCAAGAGAGTCGGACACGACTTAACGACTAAACAACAACAACATGTAGAGAGTTTAGATTTTCAGCCTGTATTATGAATTTGCTAAACAATCATTTCTTCCTCTGGTGGTTGTTGTGGGTTTTTCAGGCTCTTTGGCCGCATTCTGAAGACTGTTCTTCCTAATGTTTCACCAGTCTCTGTGGCCGGCATCTTCAGAGGACAGCATTCTGAAGATGCCGACCACAGAGACTGGCGAAACGTTAGTAAGAACAACCTTCAGAACATGGCCTAAGAGCCCAAAAAACCCACAACAACCATTAGATCCTGGCCATGAAAGTCTTTGTGCATACATTTCTTCCTCCTTTCTCCCTCCTTTAACTTTGCCTCCATTTTATTATATTTCAAAATGTTAACATGTTCTGTTTAATTCAAATAAAGTTCCTATTCTGTACATGACATTTTGGATGAAGGTTATGGTGCCTTCATATCTGGAAACAATGATATGTTTGCCCCTGCTTTTTACCTTCTTGAGTTTTCCTTCTTGAACTAGCTCTTGAGTTTTTTTCTACTTTATATACATATAAAGTAGAGAGCACGGCAACACATAAGAAATAGACATTTCGATACACATTTCAATAGCATGAGAAGAACATTTGGTCCTTTTCTTGTGCACAAATGGAAAACAAACAGAAGAGAAGGAGTCTCATCCCTTTATATATACCGTATTTTTCGCTCCATAAGACGCACCTTTCCATAAGACGCACCGATTTTTTAGGAGAAGAAAACAGGAAAATATAATCTGTTTTCTTCGCTCCATAAGATGCACAGACTTTCCACCCCCCTGTTTTGTGGGAAAAAAGTGAGTCTTATGGTGCAAAAAATACAGTATATAAAAGGAATGAGACCCCCTCCCTTTTCTTTGTTTTCCATTTCTGAATAAGAAAAGGACCAAATGTTCTGCTCATGCTATTGCAATGTGTATCGAAATGTATATTTCTTATGTGTTGTCATCCTTTATACTGTAATGACAAGATGTATAGGGCTCTGTACTTAAAAACAGGTTAAGTCCAATCTAATAATGAATCTTACAGCATTATCATATTATCTCTACGAACACTCTTATGTTCATATGTTTATATGTGTGATACAGAATGCTAATTGATATGTTTCCTCCAAAAAGCATGGGAAAAGTTATTTCTAAACTCAAAGATCTTAAAACGGATGTGGCTTTTCTTCAGGAAATTAATCTAGTGGCTGTTGATGAACAATTAAAGAAGTATGAGTCAGATCAAGATTTAGAAGCATTTCTCCACCTAGCATGAATTTCTGTGTTTGGATTATGCACAACAGTTTTTGGCTATACCTTTGCAAATGGAAGAGATTAGAAATACAATTCTCAATATGAACACTGGGAAATTCCCATGATCAGATGGGTTTCTTGTTGAACAGTTTTTGCAGACTATTTAATTCCAAATTGTATAAGAGGGGTTTTCAGTCCAGATCTCAAATTACAGACTATCTAATTTACTGTATAATTTATCATGCTAAGATACTAAGTGTTATTCTGAGCCTCAAGACATTATAATTCTTTGGTTCTTGTAGGATTTATTAAGTACAGGCAGGGAATGGACAGACTGAGAATGATTGAGAGCCTAGTTGGTTGGAAAGTTGGTTGGAAAATTGGGCTGCAATTTTTCATTGTTGAAAAGGCCTATGACAAAATACAGGCAAATTCATCTTTTTCACATTGGCTAAATTCAGTTTTCCTCAAGCATTCTCATACCAGATTAGAATACTTTATTCGTCTTTGAGATCCTGATTAACAATACTTTTTCCCACCATTGTTTTTCAAAGAAAAGGCAGTATCTTTTAGCTCTCGTATTTGATTTATATTTGTAACCCTTGGAATACACTAAGCAAAAAAAAAAAAATTAACAGTCATGACTTTATATAAGGTTCATTAGAGTTTAAAATTGCTGGCAGAATTTGTTTTTGTGAAAGGGAAATGTCAGGCACCAGCATAAGAAACATGCTGTTTTTAGAAGGAACAAGGGGTTTGGAATGAATAGCAAGTTGAGTATCTCTCAAAAGGTCCTGGTCACTGAGATATCTTTGGACTTGGCTAGTTGGACACCATTAAACCTGACTATTTGAGGCAAAGCTAATACATTCCAGATTGACGTTATTCCTTTAAATAATATGGCCAGTGCTATATTTGGAGTAGAAGAGAATGTAAGCTCCCCACAAGTGATCTTGCAACTTGTATGAGATTGGCCATTTGAAGAGGAGCCAACTGGAGCAGAAGGAACAGTAAGATAATCATCCTTCTCTGACTGCATAGCTCAATAGGATGCTCACATATATACTTTAAGGCAATGGTCCCCAACCTTTTTGACACTGCGGACAACTAATGAATCACGTGGTCCCCAACCTTTTTGACACCGTGGACAACTAATGAATCAGTTAATTGGCCCTGCAGTTGACACAGGTCATTTTGAAGTAACTTTAGTCTGTCTGTCTTTTAAAATAGACATGTTTCTGTTTGTGTTGTCTGGGGATGCTGACAGGATCTTTGGAGAGCCACTAAATGTGTGCTAGATTCTTGCCCTCCTTGGCTCACAAAAACAGACAGAATGGCCCTGGCTGAATGGGTTAGGGGAGGGATGAATCTCTCCTGACAGAAGGGTAGGATCCCAACATGTTTAAGGAGTCAGCAGTAAGAACTTTGTTTAAAATGCCCTCCTGGATAATTGTTGTCTGTATTGAATAATTATTGTCTAGTCTCCAATATTATATTTTGGGGCAATGTTTTGGAGTGTGTGGGTATGTCTTAGCTCAGTCTAGGGGTTCCTGGATGAAGCAGATTATTTAGATCTATTTCAGTCTGGCTTCAGGCCTGATTATGAATCAGGATGACTTTGATCACCAAGGTGGATGAGCTACAGCAGGAACTGGATAAGGGGAGTGTGCTCCCATTGGTTCTGCTCAACCTTCCAATAGCTTTTGATACTATCAACCCTGGTAACTATCTGGGCCATCTCTCTGGGGTGGGATTTGGATGCATTGTCCACAGTGGGTGCAGTCCTTCCTGGAGGGAAGAAGAACTTAGGAGATGATGCTGGGGAGGGGGGGACTCCTGTTCAACACCCTGGCCATTGGTGTCCCACATGTTTCAGTCCTGTCCCCCATGTTTTTCAACATCTACATGAAACAACTGAGGAAGGTTGTCCTGAGTTTTGGGGTACAATACCATCTGTATGCTGATACCCAAGTACATCACTCTTTTCCATCTGATTCCAAAGAATCTGTTCTGTGTCTATAAAAATGCTTGTTGTGAGTAATGGATTGCGTAAGGACTAACAAACTGGAACTTAATCCAGAGGAGACAGAGCTACTCCTGGTCAGTGAAAAGGCAAATAAGGGGTTTGGATTTAGTCTGTACTGGATGGGTTTACAGTTTCCTTGGAAAATCAGGTTTGCAGCTTGGGTGTGTTCCGGGATTCAGTCCTCAGCATGGATGCATAGGTCTCAGCAGTGGCCAGAAAAGCATTTGCACAGTTAAAACTGGTATGCCAACTGTGTTTGCTCCCTGAGGTGTCCAATCTAGCTATGGTAATACATGCCTTAGTTACATCTGTTTGGATTACTGTGACATGCTGTATGCCAGGCTGCCTTTAAAGAGTGTTTGGAAACTAGCTGGTTCAAAATGCTGCAGTCTGGCACTGGTTATATGGAGCACAAAACTCCCTCACTACAGTAGCTTCACTGGGTGCCATTCTGTTTCCGGATCCATTTCAAAGTACCACTTAGGATCTATAAAGCCCTACATAACTTGGATTCAGGCTTTCTGAAGGTCCTCATCACCCCATATGAGGCCATAAGATTTTCTGGGAAGGCTCTTCTCTCCGTTCCCAAGCTCATTTGTGAGGACACAAGAAAGGGTGATGAACTGAAACTGAGGGGATCAGGTTCGGGCATGCTGAGTCATGTGGTGGGAGGAGTGAGTGGGATTCTTGCCAAAAATGCTTCGCGTGGAATGCCTGAGAATGATCCTCTGTGCAGGCACATAAATTCTTATTTGTGTGAGTCACAGAGACCATAAAGAACTCATTGAATCAGAAAATATGCATAAGCTCACAATATTTACTTATAAACAGTTATTGAAAACAAATACATATGATATACAGGAATAAACTGAATTATGAATTAAATGACACTATTTTGTCAAATCAATAGGCAACAGCTTCGTCGTTATTCCTTCTTCTCTCTGGAGCTTAAATTAAGACAGGAAAAGCTATGTGCCACAAGTACTGGACTCCACAACAGAACAATATTATTCAACAAAATTCTGACTATATTAGCCAACATTGTAACTTCTCCCAAGCATTTATTAAATATCAGACCAGGCTTGGTCTCATTAGTTCCTTTTTGAGGGAAGATTAATTGACAAATCTGGTCTGCTTGGGTGTAATCATTGAACCTTACAAACTCACATGGCTTCTGAATTATCTACCTGCTTGTTGGAAGCACAAAGGACAACGGAAAGGAGTTCTCCCTACTCTTTTGATGGCTAAAAAGCATACTGGAGCACTGGAAGAATGAATACCCACTTTCTATAATTTAACAGATGGAGGACCACAAGACCATTTTTCAGCCTTTGCACACATGCCAATTTCAGATGCATTTAGCTTTTCTTGAGTGTTATGCATATGTTTCCCTTTTTCTCTTTTCCTCCCTCCTCCCCCTTGTTACTGTCACAATTCCCTCTCAATTGTTACATCCTTTTGAACTAAACCTTTTTGACAGTGGGAGAGGGTTGTTATGATTTTCTTACATTTTTTTTTGTAAGTTTGGTTTTTAAAAAATATATATTGTATTCTGGTCTGTACTTGAAACTGATGGGTTATAAATTTCATATATAAATAATCAAGCAAATAAATAAACTATATGAAATTTTGTGGTTGTCGTGGGTTTTTCGGGCTCTTTGGCCATGTTCTGAAGGTTGTTCTTCCTAACGTTTCGCCAGTCTCTGTGGCCCGCATCTTCAGAGGACAGCACTGTATGAAATTTTGTTTTTTTTTAAATTTGGAACAGAGTGGCATTGACTTTACTCTAATAATATCACGAAACATCATGTAATTTCATTAAAATTGCAAAGTTGATGTGTTACAGCCAGGAAAATCTGCGGGAGGAGGGCCACAAGGAATAGGTTTGGTTACTCAAATATATTTTCTGAATGTACTCTAACTTTCTCCCTTATATACAAATAGGTTATTTATTTTGCCCATTTCTATGAGGCAAAATAAAGAGCTGCAGTATTGATCAGATGGGTCTCTGATAATAATACCCCAAAAAAGTCTTTGATGCACATGGAGTTTTGCACTTCAAATTTCATTTATTTCAGTGAAAACAGCCAAGCATTTAGAATTAGAGAAATTTAAAAATGCTTCTCTTTGGATTGTGTCCTTTATTTATTTATATTTTCATTCAGACATAATTATGGTGAGTCGATTATTATCTCAATTTAACAGATGGAGATTTGTGACTGAATGCTAATTCTGACATAGGAATCATTCAGCCAAAATGAAACACTTTTAAATCCTGCTGATTTTCTGGAAAGAGTTAAGCATGTGCTGAATGCTTCCATTCAGATAAATGGGATTTAAAAGTGCTTCACTCTGGCTGGATTGTTCCTTGTGTTAAAAATAGAATGCATTAATGAGACCAACAACCATGTGGATCAGAGAGCTGGCTGAGCTTCAGCTTGCTGTCAAATGTATGCTTGATGGTAAACCCATTTCTGTTCCTGCAAAATATGTGGGAAATAAGACGCTCAGTGATGAGTTGGACTGAATGTCCTATGTCCAAGTCTAGTATATTGATTAATCCATAGGTTCATACTCAAGTAGTATTGAACTGAGAAGTTTGTTATTTTTCATTTCCCTAAGCAAAAAAGAAAGAAAGAAAGAAAGAAGAAGAAGAAGAAGAAGGAGGAGGAGGAGGAGGAGGAGGAGGAGGAGGAGGAGGAGGAGGAGGAGGAGGAGGAGGAGGAGGAGGAGGAGGAGGAGGAGGAGGAGGAGGAGGAGGAGGAGGAGGAGGAGGAGGAGGAGGAGGAGGAGGAGGAGGAGGAGGAGGAGGAGGAGGAGGAGGAGGGGGAGGAGAAGGAGAAAGAGGAGGAGAAGGAGAAGGAGAAGAAGAAGAAGATATATATATATTGCTGTGAAAAAATCATTATGGTTAATTATATGCCACAGACTAGTGCTGCTGCAATGTTTATTTAGAATGCATGCCAGAGAATTCAGAGCAGTGTGTAAAACATTGTCTGACCTATTCCAAGAATGTATCACTCGGGAGTGTTTGAGCTTTGTTATGGGTTCTATTAAGATAGCTTAATCTCTGGTGAAGCCTGTAGGGGGAAAATGCAGTCTGTTGTGATATTACTGAGTATTATTAAATTGCAGAGGTCACAGAAATCTAAGAATAAAAGGGGTCAGCTTTTTCCCAAAGTGTTTTCCAGGGACAGAACTGTTTTCCAGAAAGGGAGAGAGAGATATTTGGCAGGAAAGCCTTCTTAGCATGAGCAAGGACCATTTTTCATTGGGTGTCTGTGTCACATTTTCTAAAATGTCACCTACTGGTGGCAGCATGCTACTAACAGGCAGCAAAAACTACATCCAGACATTCCCTTCTTAACAAACTTTTACATGAGGATAAATTAATTTATGTCAACCACTCATGAAGATCTTACCCTGTGCAGAAATAGGGCTGCACCAGAAGGGTAGTTGGGAGACACTTAGGGAGGGAAAGCTTCATCCTTTCTTCTGCACTGAAAATGTTCTAAGCCTCCCTCTATCCATATAAGGCTTTTTCTCATTTCCTTACCTTTTGGGAGTTTACCCAAAATACACTTCCCTTGCATCACCTGACTGAAAGAAGACCGATACTTCCCCATTCTTAAACCATGGGACTCTAGCAGACCACTCCACTCACTTCACAGAAACATACACTATAAAGAAACAACTAAACAGTAGATGCATGTTATAGACCTCTAAGTGGACAGACTATGGGCTCTGTGTTACCCAGTGTTTGTGATTTCACAATAACCTTTACATCAGCAGATTGTCTCTATGTTCTAGGAACATCGAAGTACTGACAAGCTTTTGCTTTGGTTTATGTAAACATCTTACCATCACATCTTTTAGAAGGGAGATATCAGCATATTCCTTAATGTGTCTGCACTTGTCCACTGAGCACAACTGAAATAGCTGAACTTGTTTTATTATATGGCTCATACTATAAAGACATTTGGCTGCCACATATCACCCCAATTTAAACCACTTCTAATCAGCTTTCTGGGCAGATCTGATAAATGTTATATTTCCATTCCTCTCTTAATCTCCTGAAACAAAATTACTCTGGTATGTGTGTGTGTATACACGTAAACAAAAGATACATACACACATACATATCTTACCAGCTGTAGTGTATGAAATAGCTGGCTCTGCATTACATGACACATCCATTCATATTCAGAGATTTGAGATGTAGAGAGTTGAAGAAAAGGCTTGACTGCAACAATGGTAAAAGGCTGCAAAAATATGATGGATGCCTACAGGACAGCAGGCGGCCACATGTCTCCTCCTTGCTGGACCCACCACAATCAGTGGACTTACATCTCTTGATTACTTTCCCATAAGTCTTAAACATATCAGTCAAGTGTTGATAAGGTTGTATTACCTGCAAAAGGAAACCTCTTGTTCAAATGGTGAGTTTTCTGGCTGGGTTCCAGCCTTAAAATCACTGACGTTGAAGTATGAGAGGGTGTGATTGATGAAGCCATGCAAAGTTCCATTATGACTGTATGCGTATTGATAGACAAGGCGTGGAATGAAATCAGAAGTAACAGAAATGACAAAGGCCTGGGAGAGAAAGAAAATCTTTACCACAGGAACCTGCGAATGCCTGCACTCTACTTTGGTATCACTTTATTGATGATGATGATGGTGATGGTGATCAAAAAGATCTCCAGACATCCCCAGACAGATAAACAGCTTGGTGGCGGGAAGATAGAGTGAGCCAGTTGGTCCTTAAGAATTATTTCTCTCTAAAGCAATTTGGAAGAGCATTTCATGCCACCAGAAATACCTCCTTCACCTCAGCTCTGACACTTAACCCAGTATTCTCATTGCTTAATTTAAAAAAAATAGTTGTTTAGTGTCTTGCAGACCAAAGAGTCTGGTGTTTGTCCAACAAATCTAGGATTTTATAGCTTTTTTAAAAATAGACCTAGCATAGATTTATACTTCCACTATTTGGGCTAGTTTATTTTAAGAAGAAAGATGAAGGAGTGAAGCAAGTAGGGACAACAAAAGAAAGATGAGCCTTGAAATCAAAAGATATTTACTTGTTAGTAATTTTCACTGATTGCAAATGAAGATCAAGATAATACATGCAAGTGTGCAGCTGCACAAATACTATGAGTATAAATCCTTGCTTGACAGAGATGAGGAACTGCAAAAAATGTTTCTTTACACATGGGAAAGCAAAACATTGGGCATAATCCTGCTTGCATTATCTTGCAAGGTGTTACCAGAATATGGCACAAGAAACATTTAAAGTAAAAGCTTCCTATCCTCCTTCTTTTAGCTTCTGAGGCTCCCTGTGGCTCTCTTACACCATACGGAAGCTTTGGGGAGCCTCAGGAGATAGGTAGGAAGCTTTGTATAGTAAATATATGAGGCCAGATTGCTGCTGGCAGTCCCAACCCTGGTAGTAGCTATGTAGAGGTGACTTGTTTTACAATTTCCCCTCCACCACATCCTTATTCTGTACCCAGAAAACCATGAAAAGGGCTGCCATAAGTTAGAATTGTTGAGTGGGCAGACTCATCATCCTGCCTGGTTGGTTGCACAGTGAGGCAGGGAAGCACTGGCTGCGATACGTGGGTGACTGGTACGATGTCGCTGACAATGGATGAACTCACCGTGTGGAGCCTTATGAGTGGACTGGGCTAGTTTCGGTGGTGAGGGAATGGACCTCCGTGGCACCTGTGGTGCCATACTTCGTATCTATATCCCCAGGGATACAAATATGAAGCTCCCATCTCTGATGAAAAATAGTTTACCTTGTCACTACTGATTTTCTTTCAGGCAGGCATAAGGAAAAGAAAACATGTTCCAACCACTGTCACATGTGTTCTGCAAGTCTCTATCCACCCCCCTCTTCACCCTTTTATATTCCCCGAAGGCATGCATCAGAATGTCAGCTTTTGATCTATCATTCTAACACACATTCCCAAAGATCATAGGATTGTACCTTAAGATTTCTGTAAAACTGGTTATGGAATGAGGCCTACAGCTTAAAAAAATCATCGACAATGCACTGACACAGAAAAGTTGTCAGCAAAATGTGCATAATTCACAACATTCAGTGAGGCACTTTTTGGAACAACGTACACACAACTATTTTATGAAAATTAAATCATTAAGCACTTCCACTGATTGTCATATCAAACCAAAAAATTTAAATTCTTGACAATTTAAGTCAAGTTTGTGTGACCCGATCAAATTCCCTGTTTTCTTTGCATAAACATGAATTTCATACTCACATTAATTATAACTGAAAATTTTCCAATGCCACTCAAAATGTTAAACCAAATCCCTGTAAGAAAGGACATAACAATGTTAAAATGCCTGTTTCTATTCCATTTTTCATTACCAAGCAAATCCTAAGTATCACATTTGATCTTCTTATTTAAAAAAAAACTTACCTATATCTTTTGCTCTTACAGTGTCAGGTCTTCTTAACTCAGTGACAAACTTTTTGGCATCAAGCCGAACTTCAATGACATTGTTCAGCAGGGCAAACACTGGGGCCAGAGGAAATGAAGCAACAAAGAGTGTGACAAAGCCAAACTGTATGACTGGAAGACAGAAAAGCATGACTCCTCAGGTTCTTCAGAAGAAATTTCTTAGAAGTTCCCAATCATTTTTAAAGACATATATTGCTTTATTTACATATTAAATGCAAATATTTACAT